ACGCGTTAGCGTGTTCCTTGATTCAAAAAAAATAAATAACATGTATTAAATCCCATACTGGTAATTGTTTACAAATATAATTTATCACGATTTCAAGATATTCATCTAGACAATTTCATAAAGTAACTAATATATTATGCTCATAGGTATTAAGTAGATGGTAGCTCATTGAAAACCAGATCATAAGACACATAATAAATATTTTGAATAGTTTTAAATGTATAAATAAATTATAACAAATTAAATTAAACGAATATGGTTTTATATTTGGTATACCATTATGATGGATTCGTTGTTATTCATTAATTTATCCAAAAAAAAAAAAAATCTGACCTTTTAAAATATATAATAAATATAAATATATTATACAACATTCGTTGGTTCAAAATTATGATAAATTGTTATATGCTAAGTGTTTTAATTTTTACTGAAAAATTACAGACAACGGATTTGTTGGGTAAAAACTATCTTAGAACGGTCGTTTACAAAGTGCACGAAAGCAAAAAGGTTTTTACCAAGGTTTAGTGGGGTTGTGGCTAAATACAGCTGAGCCGGACCCTACACTATCATCGCCCTAACTGGAAGGAAACAAAGGGGGCTTCCCCTGCTACACTGGAGTACGCGCATGTGTTCTCACACGAGCTCTGTATACTCTTAGCATTATCGATCGTACAATTCTGCTCTCTTTGGTTTCTTTCATTCATCCGCTCTCAGATTGTTTCTACAGTTTAATCTAATAAAAATTACGATAGCTTATGTAATTACACGACCAGTCTTGATTGGGTAAAAACAAATACCCCGATTCGTTAAAACTTAAATCATCTAATTACGCCTAACAACAAAATATAACGTTATTATCCGTGTATATTATAGGTACTATTTAACGACTAAATTATTTTGATTTATTAGTTTTTATCAAAATAAAAATGTACGACCTATACTTATAATAGCAAAATAGGTAAATAATAAATTGTATTGTTAGGTTACAAACAATATAATACAAGATTACATAAGAGAAGCTGCAGCTACGCTGCCAATTATAACCACTTCTGAAATATGAAATCATTTTATTTGTAATCTGATTATTTAAAAATATCATTATCACGATCACAATATTTTAAATATTTTTATTTTTTGTGTAAAAATTATTTTTATTTAGGATTATGTTGTTTAAAAAATCGTCTTTCCTAATTAATATAAATTTAAACTATTAATTTTCATTATAATATATATTTTATAGAATTATTAATTATTATTCGACAAATAAATAAAATATAAACATGCTATAATTTGATTGAAAATTCGAAAATTATGTATGTGGCTATTTATTGGAAAGCATATATTTTTGAAATAACTTATTTTAAGAAAATATTTTCTGAAGTAAAAGTATAGCAAACAAATAAATGTGCCAATACAGAAATAATTAAAAATATAAAATTTCAAAAGAAATATTAATCAAAAATAAAGTTATTGATTGAAAAATACAATGCTAGTGTTATGCTGTATGACAAAATAAATTACACAAGATAACTATTCAAATAATATAAGTACTACACTATCCAGTTTACATTTTTTTCCAAAAACATTTAAATATTAAATTTTGATATACTTTAAGTTTCAAAACTCCGTAAGATATTATTAATATATATATACCTAGTATTGCTACTCCATAAAACATCATAATATTTTGTAATCTAGTACATACAACTATACAAGTAGAAGGACTCCCCGAAGAAAAATAATATTTAAAAGTAGAGTCTGGTATAGATATTAAATATTCAGATCAAAATAAGTCCCTTGCATGAAAAAGGTTTCAATAGTGTGTTAAGTATTAATATACATTAAAAATAAATATGCAGACCTATTCACTACAGATTCACACTTAATTTTAAAAATTAGTTTTTAAGCCCACGAAAAAAAATTCTTGAAAAATCATAGAATATAATTAAAAGATTAAAAAATATAAATGTGTCTATACTGGTAGTACGTAGTATAGATATTAGATATCTAACCGTTTTATTAGTAAGTATTTTCATATATATACTGAATATATATTGTATAAGTCAATTTTAATTTAAACTTGGAAAACTGGTCATTGAAATATTATTCATAAAACCATAAATATAATACAGATAAGAAAGTAAATCTCTGAGTTCTAGTTTGTAAGAATAGTATTTTGATTAACAAAAGAAATAATAATTAAATTAATTATAGAAGATAACATTATTGAGTAAGCTATCAAAATCAATCTATGATTCACTTAACTCGAGTTACTATTATCTATACTACCTAAAACAAATACATTTTTTAATATTAAACATTTTTTAAATTTGGTTTTGTTAATAAATTGGCTAAAATCTTTTTATATGAATAAAAATAATGTAAACATGTGAAAATAAGTAAAAATTAATAATTAAACAATTATAAAAAATTATTATATTTTATAACAACATATTATAGTGTATAATTTAAATTAAGTGTATATTCTTTTTTGATATTTAAATAGTTTAAATAACTTATAATTGAGATTTCAAAATTGCAATTGCTAACCATTTTTCTCTCAAATTATATTTGAATACTTGCTGATTTAAAGACCATATCTTTATTGTAAATAAAAAATAGTACCTCTTTACAATTAGTAACAGACTAGTGTATGTAAAGATTTTTTTTTATTAAATATATTTTGGAATTTAATTAAGAAACATATATTAAACAACAATTTATTATTGGTGATAATTTATTTTATAGTTAAATAATATTTATATTGACATTATTAAACAAAATTAATAAAATACAATTTAAGCTTGGTCAAACAATAATTACAATTAAATATACATTCAAATATATGTATTTTAAATATTTATAATGAGATAGGTAGGTACTTATTTATTTTTTTCAAATATCAACTGTTGCCAAAGTATTTAAGTCTCAAACTATTTAATACATGTCTGTACTAAAATAGCATTAGCCCTTGTTACAAACAAAGAATTCTTGAAACTCCTAAATATTAATAAGTGAACCAAACAAGTCATAGAATATTGGCCACACAAAAATATGTTTCAGTTCCCTAATACTTAATTACATTTAATTAAAATATTATTTTGCATAAGGAAATGATTCAGAAATGTGATATTCGCTTATCAAAAAAGTATAGGTTATCATAATGTTCGGTACTCGTACAATATGCTAAAGCCATAATATTAATTAATCTACCATCATTTTATGTTGTTTTAATATGCAATCTTTAAATCAATTCATATTTTTGTAAAATTATTGTGGGGCCGTTTTCTTAAAATTTAGCTACTGCTACATTTAAACATAAATTGTACTAGTTGATTTTAGTTGATCTTGATATTTTTGTAAACATCTCGGCTTGAGTTATATTTGAAATACTCAATATCAGACAAATTCTACAGTATCCCACATATTCTTTAATCCACTATGTAAATTACTAAAATTCCTATTTCTAACCTTAAATGTGAAAAAAAATACGTATTGAGTTAAATGATAGGCATCCATTCAATTAGGTACTAGGTAAATAAAAAATAAATGATTTTCAAAATATTTAAACAAATTTTAAGAACTGTTTTCTATTACTTTGATTCACCAATACCACAAATTGTTTGGTTTTAAATTTGGTACAAGTTTTTTCATTAGTTACCTAAATCACGTCTTTATTAAAAGAACGTACACACATCACTTCCCTTTGAATAATATTGATATATAAATACAAATAATTCATAGTAAAAATATGCATATAAATAATAATAATAATAATATAATAATAAAAATACTAAATAGCCACAGTTAAACCATGTATTATCCCACAACTCACAAACACAATATATGTACAGACTAATTTTATTTTTGTTGTAAAAATCCTACACTTAATGACAAAATAATAAACTATATACAAGTATAATGAAATTTGGTATATGAATAGATATCGGTAGATACCGTTATTGTTGTAGATAACATACAAAACCACCAAACATGCAGTAGATAGAATATTGTATAAGTACCAAATTTTCCTACTATTCATAAGCAAATCAATCAGTTTTAGAATTCTAAATTAAACCATAAAGAATAAAATATTACTACATAGTACCCAATTTTAACAGTATTATTGTTAGAGACGTAATGTATGCTCAATATGTCAAATTAATGCTGTATAAGTTCAATAAAAAAAAATGTTTAACTACAAATTAAATGTATGAAACTCAATTGCTTATAATGCAATTATTGCAATTATGCAATTATGTTTATATTGCATACAATAACTATGCATATAATTTAATACATTTATAATATATTTTTCATTTAGTTTGGTATAAAAATATAATTTTTGATAAATTCAACACATTAATTAAACATTATAAATATTTTACTTTATATAATGTCAATGATACACTATTATTAAGCAAATTAGTATTTTATTATTTTTAAGTTTCTTTCTAATAATATTATTATTTGAAAATAAATAAAAATGTAATTAACTTTTATTACAGAATACAAAACAATTTGTTTATTTTTATTAACAATTTATATGCGCATCTCTTTTAAGATTTGATTTTTAGATATTTATAAAAAAAAAAGTTATGTTAAGTAATGTTATATTCTTTACTTGTAGTTTTTAGTGTAGTTTTAACTATCAACACTAATTTTAATAGGTCGAACAACCAAGTAAAATCATAACTATAAACATATTATATAGATACAAAATGATAATTTAAAAATAATATTTTTAATAATCATGATTTTAAATTACTGTATCAAGAGTTAAAATTGATCTTCAATAAAATATCTGCAGCAAGTATAAAAATGTTTGTACATAATATGGCAAACTATATGAAGCAACAAGTACTTGTGTTGGACTTGAGATATCATGGGGATCCATATCCATAAATGTATACTTCAATTATTACAATTATTTAGGTATATAATTTAATGTTATATATCAGATTTATTAATTTGATATAAATGATATTCAACAAACTTACTTTGAGTAAAGTTAAGATTTTTTGACTCAAATCATAATCAAAATTTGAATACTTGGAATCAGACATGTCGTAAATGAATACCAACCCACATTTTTGAGTCTTGACATTTTCAAGAGCTATATCCAGTTGGTATACAATACCCTATTTTAATAAATAATAATATATTAAATTTATTATCATGTTACAAGACATAGATATTGTGAATGGTGTGCATACCTGCAAAGTAGTTTGATGAGAAGAAAATTGTGGCACATGATAACGTGCTGTAAAAACAGCTATAGCAGCACCTGTTGAATCTCTTGTTGGCTATAAAAAGTAAACACATAAGTTTAATTTCATCGAACATGCAAGTTAAGTATGCGAGTACTTAGAGATTGAACAATTTATCATTACCAAAATTGTAAATTTCTGAGTTTTAATTTCACTTTTTAATGGTTCAACAGCACAATTAAACCCGAACAGACCCTCGCGCAGTCTGGTTTCTTCATGCTGCTTATGTAACAGAACAGCTTTGGCAACATCAAATTTCCTTGCCACCAAAAACTTGAAAGCAGAAGACCTGGCTATTGGCGGTTTGTTTTGTGATTTATGCATACGATTGATAGTATGGATGAATTCGTCTACGGCCTACGAAACCAACAAACAAAACGTATGTCATTATACTCATTGGTCATCACTTAACCTGGACACTGGGTGTAGAAACCGTGTATTATTATGCACACCTTAGTGGTACAGTGTCGTCGGGGACCGTAGCAAAACCACTTTGACAACCGTTCGACAGTACACTTATTAATTATTACAGCAGTACAAGTGTCCGCCTCAAACCGACCCACTCACCCGTTCTTGTTCCGGCGAAAGATCTCCGATTTCCATTTCAAACGTATTGCGATCATCAACTGTGGAATTATTGTTCTCGTCGGACACCCAAGCAGTACATTCACACCGACCTGCCGGATCTGTTATGGTTCTGGCTTGGCGCTATCAAACCACCACTAAGATGGGGACAATGAGCCGTTTGTATGGCACATATTGGATTGTTGTTGAGGTTTCGATTATCTCACGGCGACCAGAATGATATGGATAACGCGTCAACGGAATTAGATGGAATAATAATGATTGTTAAATAATAATATCGCTGGGTCTTATGTTGTTTATTAATATTTTTTTGTGCCCGACGTTTGTTGAATGTTTTGTTAACCTTTTATTTTTTTTTTTTATCAATTTCACGTATACAGCACGCTACCTGGTGGAGTCGGGCCACAACTACCAACGACGATAACACGACCGCTAGTGTTGACGAATTACGGAGACGCAACCAGTGTCCAGTGGCGGCGGCGTCCTTCGAATACGTTTGTAATAATTACATTTTAAAGGCCATCGGCGAACCCACGCGGCCACGTACGACCGTATTTGTTGCCCCTCCCCCCCCCTCCCTCTGTAAATAAAAGCCTTTGAATGACTTTTTTTTCAAACATTTTAAGTTTTCATTCTGTAATCGCGTTATTTACACCGCTCCGTTAACAATATAGGTAGGTACGTATTATATTTTTTTCATCACCAACCTATCCCCTCCAGGCTCCAGGTATAACTCCAAAATTCTAGGTACGCCCGTGTATTATAAGTGCATAATGACGAATGAAAAACAGTAATTTCGTCATCGCGGGCGCACAGACGCACGGTTATAATATGTATGTAGGCCAAATTAAATATAGGTACGTATCAAAAATACCAATAATTTCAGACACGCGAATGATGACGAAATGATGACTTAAAATGACTAAATACCTAGGTATGCAGTATGCAGAATACTCTGCAGTGTTGAATCCAGGTATAATACGAGTGGGGCGAATGCAACCCTAGACAAATACTGAAATAGTTAAATACCTACAGCATACCTACTATACAGTCTAAAAGTCTATCAAATGTAAAATAATATACCTACTCGTTAGTCGTCACGGCTTTATGTCTTTATTAGGTATCTTTTATTATTATTATCAATGACACCGTGCACACATTTTACATCGGAATACTTAAAACTTATCTAATAGTGATCAATAAAATATTATTCATTTTTATATCTGCAATGTTACATGCAGACTGAATGAGTGCTTAAAGTGGGAGAAAATTCCAGGGGGACTAAATAATGTCTCCGTATAGTTTTGAGCGTTCCATATAATATAAGTCTATGTATAATGTCTGATGTATATGTAATGTATAAACAGTGATTGTGTAAGCATACTCATCCTACTTTTAACCCCGAATAGTTAAAGGAATAATATTTGTTAAAAGGGACGCCTTTTTAATCGCCGTCAGAGGTAGATGGGCTGAGTCTTCCTGTATTTCCCCACTTTCACCCAAGCAAATGATGACGAAATTACTTGGAATGAACTAGGTATGCAGAATACTCAGAGTTGTTTCCAGGTATACTACATGGGGGGAGGGAAGGGAGTGAATGCAACCAATGACAAATAAAACTACCAACAAATTTGCTTATTCAAATATGGATAATAATGAGTTGCGATTTTACTGTCTTGTATTATTATTGATGATACCGATAGTATCTCACAAATTTTACTTCGAAGTACCTACTTATAGAACTTATGTAATCGTATTCAATAAAATATTATTAATTTTTATATCAATGTTTACCTACTATTAACCAAATTATTGTTCGAAATCATAAATTATAGTTCATACCCAGTTATATTAAGATATTAATAGATGTACCTATGCGTAATACATTTTCAAAAATTAAAAATATGTAATTTCAAATTATTTTACCTATCCCTCAAACACGAGGTATACATACTGTACTACTGTAGAGTTTGTGGACTACTCCATTTCCAAATGATGCGACTGGACCCAACGTACCTAGTCTACTTTATGAATTAAAGGTAAGTTATTATATACTTTGGTATCATTGCCCTATGCGGTCTATGGGTAAGAAATTATAATGTACAAAAATAATATGGCGCGATCAGAAGAGCATTAGAGTTTAAGAGCATAATATACTACAGATACACGTATTATTATTGTATATAATATATTATTATTTACAATAATATTATTATAATATATTTTATTCGTGCAGTATAGGTACAGAAACCGTGCTCGTTTTCCATGTCAATAAAGATCAAATAACATGTCATAATAGTTAGTCATAGCTCGTAGCCCATAGGCTTATTATAATAATAATAATAATATAGGTACCATGGAGAAATTCGTTTCATTTAAGTGTATATAATTACATCCTGTGCGTCCCAACTCCTTGAAATTACTAAATGGTTAGAATCTATCGTAAGCCGTAGAAAAACTTAGGCGCATACACTGGATAAAACCTGTGATAAACGGGAAGTATAAGTATAGTAACATAATGTATGGATTACCAACTATATAGTGACGTACTACCGACATTTATCTACCCGCCCGTTCGCGGGTTCCAAACGAGAACTTCCTGTATGCATAATGCATATTATATTATGAATATATGATTGCATACATAGGCACCCACAAAGTTATGTATGATATAGGTATCTGCAGTGCCGGGATCTACAAATAATGTAACCCGGGGCACAAGTGCACAACAAAATATTGGCGCCCCTAAAAGTTACCAATAAAAAATGCATGTGTCAATTAAAATGTAATAAAAAATTATTAGTTTAAAATGGGCCCCGGATCGCCCCCCCCCTATATCCGGTACCGGGTAACTGGTATACTTACAAAACATAGAATACAACATTTGTTGACTTGGATAAACAAGATTTGCATAGAATAAAATATGTTATACATTTATAATATTTTACTATTTTAATACCTACAACTTTTTGTTTATCGTATATTTTACCAAGTTACAATAGTACATACATACATGGTAAAGTCAATATAATTACGTTATTGACGATAAAAAATAAATGTAATCGTCTCGCTCTTCTTTCAAAACATCAATCAACATATTCAGCATACGCATTTTTATTACTAATTGAGTTAGTCGTCCTGTGTTTAGGTATATAGGTACATTCATCAGATATATCATGCATAAAGCATCGACTCTTTCGTCGGTCATGATAGAGCGTACCCGGTTTAACCCTTAGCAGTTCGCAACGTGCTGGAGAACCGTCCAACATTACAAGTACCTAGATTTCGGGATGCTGAGGCCAATATAACAGTCGAAAATGGGTAAAATATTTCTGATCGATTCAATACATATAACATCTTTATTCTTTACCACGCCGCCGTCTTAAGCGCAATTGGCCCAGGTACCTCCTCAAAATTTAAAAAATAAATAAATATAAACAGCCTAGAATTGTGAAGTATTGGACCCTCCTCCCCCCCTCATCACCTATTATTGTATACATTTTTATTACGGGTTGTATATATAGCTGGTAGTTGTCGTTGTATATAATATAATATATACTCTTGTTTGTTCTGAAATAAAAAAAATATTTTAATTCATTGAAAATCAATTAAATATCATTCGACGATGGGTAGTAAATGCGTAGTAAATGAGTAAGTTAAATTAGCCTTCTCTGATATCATACAACAATAGGATGTGAATATTTAAATTTTAAATATAAGAACCTCCTCGAACTTTGTTGCGTCACCGTCTGACAAATATAATATCTACATTGCGGTATATTATAATGTGATACGTACATCGGTGGTGTAGGTATTTCATATTGGGTGGTCACTCGTGTATTATATTATTGGCACCATAATGGCACACCGCTCCACCCGATCCGTTTTTTAAATAGCAAAACAGTATAGTTGGTAGGTACCTATACATACCACGCACATTATAATAACGCGTGTTTTTTGTTTACGTATATATAAAACATTATGTGTTTAAGACATTAAATGCTCGTCCAAATGTGCAGCAGCGACCGTACGTCTGCCGTTTGCTGTTACGAATATTAATAGAATAATGCGCATATATATATACCTCGGTAATAAAACGAAAAAAAAATGCGATTGCTCGATTATAGAGTTTGTTCGCCGGAAATCGGCGTCAACTTGCAGCAATGCTGCACCCGGGCAGATGGTATACTTATACGCGAATTAATGACGACAATATAAGATTTCGTAATCTGGCGAAATAAAAAATTCCTATCCATCCGCAGTTGTAGTGTTGCGGCAATCGTCAGCAACAATGATAGTATGTACAAAATATCGTACGCGCCTAAATTGCATATTATAATATAAAAAATATGGTCTCGTCAGAATTTATCGTAGATAATCGTAGTGACATCGATCGTAATAATTATTGTTAAAGGGCATGCCTACGTATACGTAGGTAGGCATGCCTACCTATACGGACGAATTACTGTTTATAGAAATGGTATATATAGGTAAAATTATTATTATAGTAGGTACCTATATATAGTATGGTTTCGTTCACATGTATCGATAATATATATAACTGGACTGTTTGGACTTGTACAGTAGGTACTATACTTTCGTTTTTTTCAAACTTACTATGAATGGTCAAGGGCACTCGTAGATGGGATCCGGGGTGGAGGGGCGGATTCATTGTTACACTATATTTTTTTCTAACTTACTATAGCGATCATAACATAGCTAATAAAAAATGTATTCCTAGAATAAAGCATTTTTAAGTTCATATTATATAGAGTTATATCATACACGATAAAAAAAAAAAAACGTTAATCTTGGCCGGCAAATTGAGATATATTGATTATATATCCAGCAGGCTCGCTTGTATATACTGCGGCTTGTTTATCAGGCATTTTAAATGCATCGACCTATATCTATATAGAAAATGTGAACAGCATAATAATTTTTTCAATGTTAATATATTTTTCTTTAACTTGTAACTTTTATGTGGTTTGTGTTTAATTTTCAACAAGGATCGGGCGTTTCACTCATTTGTGGTTTTGTTTTAGTTTTATGTGGATTTATGACGAATAGGTATCGCTATTATAAATTATTACAATTTAATATTAAAAATGTAAATAGTGATTAATACTCTCTGGTCAATTTATTATAATTATGTGAGCATTGTGAACGATCTCACAGGCTTCGCTGGACGTCCCCATACGGAGAACACATAATATTTTATAGAGGTGCAGTATAATACTATAATATATGATTGTAGTTTATCAGTCATCGATCCACTTGTTTACAAACCATTTAAAATTGAATCGTATTAAGTATCCAGTTTTGAGTGCTAGAAATTTTACTTGCACAATATATTAATATATTATACGGATTTGATTGAAGCCTCATACAGTATAAGGTTATACTTACATTACAAATTACATGGTATTTGATACATTATACCGCAGTGTATATATATTATTTCCCAATCATCACTTTTTATCCAAACTGATATATGTAACAGTTATTACTGTTATAAGGAATTATTTTAATGTATATATGTAATTTTTGGCTTACATAAATGTGAACCAAAAATTTCAAATAAATAGGTAATAACCAGACAAACGGTGTCCGGTATACATATAAATATGTAATCTTTATAAACTATTTTTAGTTTTATATATTGATTAATCATACGTATCATTTAATATTTGTCTACCTATTATAAAGTTATTTTTTAATAATTTTAACATTTGCCAATATTATATGATATTACTATTAATCAGTATTTATTTTACTATTTATTTATAATTGTTGAGATTAATTTGAAAATTATTATTCTTTTGATTGTATACCTACATAATCATATTATACATTTATAATTTATATTATGTACAATATGCATTATACATTTATAATTTATATTATGTACAATATGCATTATACATTTATAATTTATATTATGTATAATATACATATATTTGATAGGTACTGTTATAGTATAGGTATACTATTGTTATTTTATGCTGTTCAAGTCATTAAAAATTTGAACTATCAAACATTCAAAGTCTGATTGGTATTTTACATAATATGAATATGTTGAAATTCACTAAGGAAAATTCCTAAAACTTAAATTCTATCAAATATTTTAATAGTAAACTATAAAATATGATTTGTATATAATATAATTGATGTTGGTAACTATAGGTAATTATATTTAATTTTTTTTATCAATTTTCTACAATTAATCATGACATTTAATTGATTGAAAATAGTTATAATACATAATAGTTTGAAAATGCATTATGCATACCTCACGTATACAATATTATTATATAGTATAAAGTCGTATAAAACAATTTCTCATATTTTTACAATATTTTTAGTGATAAGATCTTCCTGTAAAATATATACATCAATAATAAAGGACGGAAATATTATTTTATTGTTGTCGAATAACAAAATTATATACTGTTTTAAAATGAAATCGTAATGTCTTTTAACGATTAAAATGAACCAAACTCGTCTATCCACGACTGATATTTTTCAATGTCTTGACCGGTGACGGTTTTCCTACACCTCTCAACGGCTTCGTTAAAATCTTGTACCGTTACCGGTAAGTCGATGTCAGCACGTTTAATGTTTTTTATCTGGTCCGGGGTCTGTCCAACAATCTTGCGTCTCATGCCCATCATAGCTGCGTCTCGGCAAACGTTAGCTATGTCCGATCCTGTGTAGCCCCTTAGTTTATTGGCTACAAATCTATAATCGAACGAGTCGTCTAAGTTTACGCCTTCCAAACACAGTTTCAGCAACGTTATCCGAGACTCGTCTGTTAATCAACAATTTATATTTTATTATTTAAAGGTTGTAAAAATTTAATTACAGATTGTGAAACAGTGTACCTAGTTATAATCAACAAATATTTATGTACAAATATCAGCACGTGAAGCTGTTGATATGACTTGTGCAAATGTATAAACTCGTCACGGGATTACATATCTTTATTGTTCTAAGCTTGACTCGAAAATAGAGGTTAATGAAAAGGTCGATTGTGAATTTTTTTATAAAACAATTCGTATAAATGTATAATAGAAAACACGACTTTGTCTGGAATTTCATAAACACTATATACAATCTTTGTAAAAAGTAGAAAACTATAATATTGGCTATTTCAAAATGTATAATTACATAATTTACATAGCTATTATTTTTAACAAAACTAATCGTACTAAGATATCGCTATTATAAATACTAAATGATTTTTTAAACATTTTCATAAGTTATAACATGACATAAAAAACTGTTTTGGAAGGTATAATAATTAGAATCGTCCTCTCATCGTGTTCCCTAGATAATGTTTATTGGTTCTCAAAAATAATTAGAATCCTGTTCACCCCTGTAAATGGGGCCCAACTTTGACATCAAATTTTTACTACGTACTCGAAAAATCAGGGTATCCTGGTACAGTTATCAATATTTACAAGTTACTCGATTGTACCTATTTACCAATCTTTCATTAATATAATATAGACTATTTATATTTGATAAATAGTCTACAGAAGATTTCCAACAATTTATACTTTTATACGTTAATGAAATAAATACTTACCATTTGGTAACGGCAAATAAATTCTCTTTTCGAAGCGTCTTCTGAAAGCGTCATCGATATCCCACGGATGGTTAGTGGCCGCCAGGACCATAATAGATTGGTTGTTTTCTTCGTCACTGTATTATAATTCGATTTTTTTAAATAATAAACGTAATGTAGGTATAATTAGTTATATCGTTTTCATCTAGAAATATTCACCTGGACGAGTTCAAACCATCCATGTGAATCAAGAGTTCCGCTTTGAACCTCCTAGAAGCTTCGTGTTCGCCTTCGGAACCCCGCAAGGAACACAGCGAATCTACTTCGTCAATGAAAATTGTGGACGGCGAATGTATTTTTGCCATTTCAAACAAAAGTCTGACCAATTTTTCCGATTCTCCTCGGTATTTAGACGTCATTGTTGATGACGAAACGTTAAAAAACGTCGTCCCGCACTCTGTTGCTACAGCCTTTGCCAACATTGTCTTTCCGGTTCCGGGCGGACCGACCATTAAGACACCCTTCCACGGTCTCCGGATGCCCTACAAACCCGATATCGTTATTAGATTACATATTTACATACGTAGCCAGCGTAGGTGATATGTTTAGACCACTAATATAATAAATTTAGGTACACCATGACATTTTAATCTATAGTCATTAGTTTATGTTTGTATAAAATATATGTAATGTGTAAAGCTATAATTTATGAGCTGAAATATTTTAACATATTACATAAATCACGATATTATTTATAACAATAACTTATAATTTAATAATATATATTATACTGTGTATAGAAATTTTAGAAAGTGAATTATTAAAATATTATATTAGTATACCGAAGTAAGATGCTGTAATAGGTACCTATGTGCCACACTGTCACGGAATTATGAGTGACCGTTAGTAATCATTGAATTTGTTAATGAGTCTATACTTCTGAATCTGTCCATATTTAATGATATGTAATTTGCACTATAATAAATTGCACGTACCGATACCGATACCGATTATGAGTATTTATGACTAACCGTTGATATTTTACAGAATTTTAATTCATCTAAATATTAAATATTAAGTATAATAGATATAATAACGACTATATATTATTATATACCATACATTCAATCAAATTTAATCGTAAGTCGTCGAGATTGTAATTTATTTGTTTAATATGCATAAATATTTTCATTTTACCATAGTACTCACCTATAATATTATTATATTCAATACAATACGTACCTTAAAGAAATCCGGCATCAGCATAGGTAGCACCATGGCTTCTTGTAGTAAAGTTTTCGCGTGTTTAAGCCCTGCGATCCGATCCCACTGGACGTTGGGGTTCCTTTGCAAAATGTCTTTTTCGATTATGTCTACCAGATGAGGTTCATAACCAACAACGGTTTTGGTCTTCTGCAGTTGTTTCTTATGGTCAGAAGGTCGAGGAGCCGTCGACGGCGTGGGATTGTGAAGGGGTGGTATGACAGGTTTTGTTCTATACCCACCGGGGTGGGAACAACACCTTACAACACGAACGAAAAATATAGACAAATATTGTTTACAATAAGGTCGTCTGGGATTATTAAATAAACATTGTTTACCTGTCTCTTCTAGTGGGTCGTATAGCTGGCAATAACTCTGGATCTCTCTTCCTTAGAGAAGCGGCCCATTTCTCTGACGGACCGTTTGGTTTGTGTTGCTGCTGCTGATGATTACCGTTAGGCCGATTATCTAAAAATGATATTAATTCAACTTTCAGCAGCCAACAATAAAAGTTAAGGTTAAAATTGTTTCATTTATTACCATTATTTGCGCGGTTGGTGTTGGATGCTACATTTTGTGTCTGCGTTTGTTGTGACGAGGATCTGTAGATGTGTGACCGTTTTGATGATTGGTTGGTTCGCCGAACGGGTTTAGAAAATGACGCAAATGATGAAAATGGATCTAACAATGAATCCATCATACGAGCAACTTCTTGTTGAACTATCCATCCTGACGGTCTGTTATTGGACAGTCTTATTGGGAAAAAAAAAAAATACAAATTAATATTTAAAACTATATCAAATCGGAAAACTAACCAAAATATTCATAAACTTATTATATATCAGCGGCCAGGTGCAAACCAAAGCATACTGCAAAATACGCAATTTATTAAAATAACTAATAAGTACCTAATATAATCAATGACCTTCACAAGACACCCTCGGACGGGATCAAAATCCGTCCGGCAAATTTTCAACGAAACCTAAGCGAATCGTTCTCAGCATACATACTTATAATAATGATATCCACAGACGATTTAGCATCGTATAGGAAGAATTTTGACAAGCATTGATCAACTTAATAGACACTTTTATTATCATGAACAAAATTATATTTTTTTAATAAAATTAGTAAATGTAATAGTTTTAATAATACAATTGATTTATTAGAACACAGAATGTTAGACTAAGGAATAAAAACACAAAATAAATTTCAGAATTCATGTAACTCAGAAAATGTGACATGCGTTTTAGTAAATGTGTCCTTACTACAAACAACATGACAAAAAATTTGCCAACATTTCAAACTCGATCACAAAAAGAAAATAGAATGAAATAGCAAATACAAACAATCTTTTATGATATTAAAACTAAATTTTACTAACCACTTGATTAAAGTATTTTATGAAAATAAGCAACTAACAAGTATTCCTAACTACATTCCTTCTATTGATATATACATCCTAATAGGCCTAGGAGCTTGCCTTGAACTAACACTTCAACAACCAAATATACTCATATGTAACATAAGAAAGCTGTCATTGCAAAAAAACACATACACCGCATCGCATGTCTGTGAATTCCAAATTATCACTTCTATTAAATTGTATTCAGTGTATCACGAATTAGCATAAAGAAACAATCATTATTTATTATTATAATTATTATTAATTACATCTCTACTATTCCCAACATTATTATTATTATAAGTACTAGTAAACATACTATCATGTCTCATTACCTACCTATGTATCGCGGAGGGGTTATTGGGACATAACAAAAAAAGAAATATAGAGTAGGTAGATGTAATAATATATATTTAAGTAAAACATACCGCCAAACACCATTTATCCTAATAACTAATAACATATCATGGTACTATGACATTCATAATAAAAGCGATTGCAAATCAAAAGCATGCCACCAAACAACAATTCGAATTATATTGCAAATTTGCATAATGACATAATATGATCAAAACTAATAATATGAAGAGCTTCACCCGCATGTGTTGTCTCCGTCCTACAAATGCGTACAACATAGCAAAAACTGTTTTTTACGGTATAAAACCACCAGGGCTGTATAGTGATAGTTAAGATTCCAAATTAATACACAATATAGTTGAGAAAATTATCTGTAAAATATCGTTTTTATTTTTTTGATATTCACTTATACGAATAAAGTTCTTATTGTTTCACAATCCATTATTTTTGTATTTTTCAAACTTGAATAACTTTTACTGTACTTCCGATATCTAAAAAATAAAAACTATATTTTACAGTCAAAAATCTTCATTTTGTGTGCCATGGTGAAAATTTTGTTTATTAGTTATTACTGTAGCCTTCTTGGTCTATTTCCAGTACAAAACAGTTTTTGCAATGTTTTACATTTGTAAGACGGAGACAACACACAGGTGTAAGTATGTAAGTATGTAACGTCCTCTAAAACTCAAATAAAGATCAACCATGAAAGTAATCATATCAGCTGCACTCCAGAGATGCTTAAAAATACAGCGGGGCCATGGTCCGTGCACGGACGTCGGACACTCACGAAATACCCATGATAGACAGTAGACACCTGCAGGATTCGTGATTGCAGGAGTATTAAATATTCCTTTGATATTATGCTTCACGTATAGTAATTCTATTTTAAAATATAAATTATGTGTTTAGTGATGTTATCTTTTTTATATAAAAATAACACAAATCAATATCAGAGCTTAAGTATGTATTTTAAACACCTTTTAAGTATACTATCCAACTATCCTCGCTCTTTTCTATTTATTATAGAACACAGAGATAAGATAGTGATTATTAGTATAATACGCATGCAAATAAACGTTATGTTATTTACTAGGTATAATATACCGAAGCTATAAATAAATACTATTATATATATTATTTTTACTTTCATTCAGAAATGTAATTTAAAAAAACTAAAAATATAAATGCCGCCACTTTTTATTGTCATTGTTTTCAACTCGTTGATATAAAAAGGTTGAAAATTATTTTAAAATAAAAATCTAACACATAATTTAATAAACGCAGTAGGTCTTCATCGAAAAAATACCATAATGTTAAATTTGATCAATTTACTTATTTAGTAGGTATCCTTATATTTGGAATCCAACGTGCTTTTATTTTATTGTGTATTTATTTGAGTATGAACTATGAGTTTTGGATTACCAGGGAGATATTTACTCGAAGGTGAAGAAATTAAAAGGTTTGGGTGTGACGATAATTTATTTTGAGTGGAATCTTGAGTAGTATTTGGAGGCTAGTTGTCTTACGGTTTTGAATTTTGAAGTCGTTATGAAGCGTGTCGTTAGATATGTACCAGCCACCAGGGAGTAGAATTGGTGAAACGAAGGGCTATTGATTGAAATGCCAATATGGTACGAATTTGTGAAGGTTAGGCACAACCTAACTCTTATTAATTTCTTATTGACTTGCACTGAATTTTAGATTTTATTTTTATCATCCGACGTTTTGCCCGAAAAAATATTTTTTATGTAATTATAACGTCGGAAAATTGGTTAGTCTCTTGCTTTGTACTTTATAAATCAAAACATAATATTAAAATAATATATAGCTTGTGCTATCAGCTTATAATTTGATTGCTGGTATTCCTCTATCATAATATATAATATATAGTGACAGCCGACAGGTGTATTATGGCGGAATATCAATGGTTCATAAACTATGTGTTATAAGTTATAACTTATAAGTAATTCAAGTTTATATCAATAGAAAATATCGTGCGTCTACTAAATTAAATGACAGATCCTAGAAAAGTGTATAATATTATATAATGTAGATAAACGAACAAAGACAATACAAATATTATATATTTTATGATTTTATAGTCGGATAATATACTTACTGAAAAAATGGATCGTTAAAAAAAGGATTATTATGCATACCAATCCACCTTATATATCTTAATAGTTAATATAATACAATCGAAATTATAACATATTATATGAATAACAGTTGTTGAAATTAATAAACGTGAATAAACTATGAATGTGTACTATGGTATACCGTATATCGTATATGCTCAGTGAAAGTATAACAAACGTGTATCCATAGTAATGAAACATGGTTACGGGAAATAATGAGTCGAAATCACAATAAAATAACTATATACCTACCTATATATATATATATATATATACCTATAATTATAACCTAATATATATTTATACCAGTAGACCAGATTTCTGTTCAATTTTACTCCTCTCGAAAACATTACTTTTAAACAAACGTACTGAGTGTCTGAGTTAATAACGAATAAAAAACACAGTTAAGAAGTTATATATTATATAAAGATTTAAACTCAAAAATAATATATTATTATAGGCTATATCCAGATAATATGATCCTGTATACTGTATAGTTTAGTGTAATATACAAGCTTGTATAGAGATGAAAAATAAATACATTTTGAATAAATTATACATTTACCTAGCATATAAGTACATTATTGAATTACATAATAACATATTTTAATAGTGTATGTTAGGAAATTACGTCTATTCTTTAATTTGTTGAGGATCAAAAAAATATAAAATATATTAAATCATTACCTATACCTAGGCTATAGCCATTTAGTAGGTATGTATCCGTAACGATATTAATTATGAATCGTTAATTATATACAGTCATGACCCGTTTTTATATCAACCCTTAAAACTTAACCAACAATTCCTTATTTAAAAACTTTAATTGGATATAAGTGGGGACAGAAATGTGATTAAATAGGTCAAAAAACACTTGTCACGCAACCATTTTTGAAAAAAATATATACTTATAGATACCAACCAAAAAGGAAATGCCGAATTTCACTTCGCCATCATACGCGTGTCTGTAATTTCATTGACCTCCTCTGGCCCCAACACCGATCAATAAACTTTACATGTTTTCTTTATAGGCAAACATAACTGACACATTTTTGACATAAGAAAGTTTATATTTTTATTTCATGTGAGCGTTTTACAAACTTCTAAGTACTATACCAATTTTTGATTTGTTAAATTGATTAATTGTTAATTAAACTGTATACTAAGATATTTTTTATCTAGCTCACAAAATAGCTCATGCTTTTTCAAATGTTCGACTATTTTCAAATTATATTATGTTATAAACTCTTAGACATAAATTTTTTTACTTTCTTTACTGATAACATAAGAGACAACATTTTTTGATTGAATCATCAAATAATCGTCATTATATAAATAAACACTGTTTCTTAACTACCGAATATTCATTTTCATTCACATCTCATTCTTATAGATTTATTATAATTATTATTATATTTGATTCACTGACTATTATTACACAATTATTAAGTACTAAGTAGTAAGAATAGCTAAATAATATATTAAATTTAATTATGTATGTCTGAAATATGCATTCATATTTTAAATGTCAAATTCCAAACTGGATGTTCAATTAAGTCAAGTTTTCTGTTAACTAAATATATTTATATCAACTGTATAGATTAATATTATAAATAGATAGGTATAAATGAAGTAATAAACTCTAATTAATATTTAGAAATAAAATCATCCATAAAGTACCAATGAATTTTAAGTAAGGTATTGCTTTTGTTAACACTTAAAAAATAACTAAATATATGTTTTATAATTGCATTGCATAATTCATAATTTATAGACAACATATGTATCATTATGTACTAATGTACTATATATAACCGTTTACAACAAATAATAATATTGTTCGACAGAACATTTATGAAAATATTTTTTTAATTGAATTAATTTACAAATTTATTTTATAGATATCCTTGGAAAATGGAGAGTCGAATCAACCAAAGACATGTGGACCATGTAAAAATAATATCAATGACATTATAATATACAAAATTCACATGTGTTTATTAATGCATACATTACTAAATTACTATATAATAGATTATTATTATTATTATTATTATTAGATAATAATAAGTATATTGAATATAATAATTGAATGAAAAACAACTAACAATATACCCGCATACACGTATGTAGGTTAAACATCCCGTATTTCAAAAAGTAAAATGAACTCATGTAATTCAAAACACACTAAAAGCTGATCATACGTGTAATAAAATAAATTATTGCCATTCGCTACGAGTGGCATTTTAAAAAGTAAAAGCGTTAAAAACAAATTCTGTGACGGCGCATTACGTATGCAATTTAGCTACACGTCGAACAGACGTATCAATATTATAATAAAAACAATAAAATATATTGGTATAATGTATATAATATTTAATTATACAATTTATAGGTAAAAAGTTATTGTGTATTATCCGTTGATCGATCTACACTAATATTATTACTATTTAATATTGGGAATTCATTATCGATGTCCACATGATATACAATCGAATTTTAATAATGATTACGATAGATATATCCTCATAACTATATTCTTATTGAAAGCGATAGTTGAGGATGTCGTCTCGACGATCTCAGCTGAGGGTATGTACAAATTGTTGGAAAATTCGATTATGATTGTCAAATGTTTCTTGATTTGCGTTTTAGACTAAGTATTTGGGATATGAGGTGTGGGGTCGAGCGATTACAGTAGTTTGTTGGCTATTAAACAATTAATATGGGTTAAAGATCGTATAGTCAAAAAAAAAATTTCATTGTAGACCACTGCAATGTTACATTGAACATCAATAAAAGCAAAATATATCCTGAGTTATAAATTAAATTAAAAATGTGACAAATGCTGGTCTTCTTTACTTCCTTAGCGTATATCAATATACATTATCATCACAAAACAATTTGATGGTTATTTAACACTTCGATAATATGATAATTATAATATATATACGACGAATCGAATCCCGCCACGCGTGATAAGCTCTATAAAGTATGCAGTTTTAAGTATTATAATACGTATTATATCATATTATTATTATAATATTACCCGGGAGGAAGTTTGTACAAGTGTCTCGTGGTGACCGGTACGGTCATCTGTATCTCGAACTCGACGTTTCGACTACCTTCGGACATGGCGTTGTTGTGGCTACTATATAATAATAATAATAATAATAATGATACAGTAATGTATGCGATGCCGCCACTGACCAAGTGGACACGACCCCGGGGCGCATGCGCTCGTAAAAACGTGTGACGCTGTTGTCCAGCGCGTAGGTCGTTGTCGGCGCACTTAAAACGCGATCGCAAACAACCACTATCCTCCACCCCATCACCACCACCCCCTCATAACCTCAAGGGTACGCAGGTAGTACTTTCTGTGTGGGGGAAACAGCGGCGAGAACGTTGCCCCCGGGTGTGATTGTATATATGTATAATACGGTGAGTCCAGCGTTGTGTCATGTATATATAATAGGTAATAACATTGCGAGACGGTTGTAAAAACGCACGAAACTATATGATGTACCTCCGTTGTATACCTATCGACCAACGAATATCAGTTGTTATATCACTAGTTCAGATCTCACGCGTAGAGGTCAATGATACGCGCTAATAATAATGATGGTAATAATTATAGGTATGAATATAAGCAGTCGAATCGGGAAAAATTGTTTTTCCGTGAATAGCGATCGAAGGTCACCCGCGGAGTTGATGACTGCTGCGAGTTGCGACGTTTTTCTGTCGATCTCTGCAAGCTGTAATAATGAATACGTTTTTATACATATAGATTACTATTATTATATGAATATAGGCATATAGTAATTTTTAATTGTTATAGTTTTAATAACATAGAATTTATATCGCATTCATCCAAATTATTTTAGATACTGAGTGGAACTATGAATGTACCTATTGATTTTACAATGATGTGTGTTTTTTTTTTTATTCTTTTATTTATTTTTTATTCTATTTTGTGTCTGTCATCGCCTTTGAGGACAGTAAAAATGCTTGGATTTTCTTCAACAGTATCTTTTCTGATAGGAAAGTGAATCTAGTTGGTACTTAGGGGGGGTCAAAAGTAAAAATTTCCCAGTAGTTTTCAAAAGCGCCTTGAAAAACAAAAGAAAAATTAAGGAAAAACTGGAATTTTTACGCAAAATCTGTTTTCGAGAAAATCGATTTTGGTTTTTGGTGTAACTTTGAAACAAATGACCGTAGATAAGTGAAATTTCCACTGGTTGTTTATATTTGTATTTCCTATACACGATAACATTTTCAAAATATTTTGATTTATTTTGAACTATTTAGGGACATTTTCAGTTTCCAATTTTATTAGTTTTTTTTTTTATGAATATCAATAAAAATGTATTAGTTTGTTAAAAAAGCTTGAAAATTTAATAGAGGGCTTCTAGAACATAGTTTCAAAGGCAGATGAAAAATATTAAAAATCCTTAGTCACAGTTTTTCAAAAATCACGAAAATTAGCAAATTATTTTGAGTTAAGAATTCGTAAAAATTTTTGTTTTTGAATCTAAGGTTTTAAAATGTAATACAAGATTCCTTATAAGATTATCTACCTGTATCAAAAAAAAAAAAATGTCTATAAGAAAGTCAAATTAAATTTTTATGAGCGTTTGAAATTCAAATTGTACAGCATTGGATATTCACTCGATTTCTCATGTAGTGATTTCCTTATTTTGTTGTAATTCAAAAACGAATTACTGTAGATACATGATAATTTCACTGAATATTTATATTAGCATTTCCTATACACCATACAATTTTTAAAATATTTTGACTTTTTTTGAGCTGTTTACGGACATTTTCAGTTTTCAATTATTTTAGTTTTTTTTCTATAAATATCAATAAAGTTTTATCGGTTAGGCCAAAAAATGTAAAAATTTAATACAAGGCTCCTGATATATTTTTACAATATCAATTGAAAAATATTAAAAATACATAGGCACAATTTTTTTTTTATAAGCATTTAAAGATCGAATTTTGACAAAATGTATCAAATTTAAAATTGAATAATTATTTTGTAGTTAATAATTTATAAAATGTTCAACTTTTATAGCTAAGGATTGAAAATTTAAAACAAGATTCCACTTAAGTAGTTAATTCTGTTACCAAAAAATCTAAAAAATACATAGACACAGTTTATTTTTATAGTCATTTTAAGTTCAAATTTGGATGAAATTACATAAAAAAAAACTAGAAAAACTATCTTAGTTATTTCGTGGTGAGTGTATAATATTATTCTTGGGTACTTGAAATTTCTAAAGTACACTATTATATATCTATGATAGTATCAGGGTTTGTTTTTGATATATAACGCGTTATGAGTACCTAATGGATATTGTGGTATGATTAATTTGGAATTTATTATAGGTACCTGTAATAGGTCAATTTTTTTTGAAAGAAAAAATCATTTTTATCTTATTTTAAAAGTTTTAAATGTTATCGACCTTAACCTATAGTTACTTCTATAATATGAGATATTTGAATGTCAAAGCATCTCGGCGTATATAAACCTATATACGATAAGCGGGTGGCAGGGTTATAAAATATAATTTTTAAGTTTTTACTTTTTGAATGGACAATTTTTGTTGAGTACTTATTTTCTACCACTCCGTTTATTTAAACTGTAAATACTTATAACTTATAATTAAACGGAAAGACAATATAAAGTATATAAGTTGAGCTGAAAATTCTTTTAATTTAAAACAATATGATTTTAATTTATGTTCATTATCGAGACGGTGCTTACAAAGTAAAAACTAATAATCAAATATTACAGAGACATCACTCACATAATAATATAAAATATTATAATATACATATAATAACACGTCATAGACAGTCCGACGAGTGCTTATATATTATATTATTATTGTATCGCTCATGTATACTGTATAGGTATAATATAAAAATATTTAATAACATAATTAATCTGGTGACACACGGAGCGATTCAAACTCACGCGTGCACGTTTTTAAATTGCTGTAATTTTAAAAACTCGAACGACGCGTGCTATGATTATTCTGCAGATAGAACGCACAAGTGTTCGTTTTAAAATCTCGAGCTACCCCAAAGGACGATTTGATTGGGCAAATTTTTAAAAAATTGCAATGTTTTTGGGCAATTTTGCATAATGCGTTTGGGCGATCTTTTTTCAATATCCTGGGATGCTGTATTTTATCAATCCATTTTCTTTCTCATTTTGAAAAAATTGGGTTGTCCACAAATTTTGTGTGTGTGATTAAAAATTGAAATTATTGAAAATCAAGATAAAATAATATGTAAGTTAAATATAAGTGTGTGTAATTAAGAATTGAAATTATGTGCCATATTTAGATTGATAACATTTCCTATAGATTTTATATATTACTTTCATCTTCATCTTTACAAACATAGATTTTATCTTGTATAAAGTATCATCTCGCTCAAACAACATTATAAGAAACTCACCCAAACACATTAATTTTATTATGTGTTTAAAAAAATAATTCGCCCAAATGCAGACGCCCCACCCCAGAATACACGATATTATAATACCCGCATCCGTCGATAGAAGGTAAGATCGATCCCACTGAGGGTCCACCGCCGGCGGTAGAGATCGTGATCGAGTGAGAACGGCTTTGGACGGCAAACACTTTGCGGCGCTGATCGGCGGTCGGTGGTCCGTAGTCAGCCTGCACCATGACGACGTCGGAGATGGCGGACGGCGGATGCGGCCTTTGCGGCACACATCGAACGAGTCTCGGACTGACTGCACTTTGACCGGAACGAACACTGCACTACCTCATTATTATGATTTCATACTATATATTTATATATTTTGCATATAGCCTTTTGTGGTATACAAGGGTGCATTGAACCTAGGTATATATATATACTACACCTATTATACCTAGCGCGTCTAGGGTTTTATTTGCAAAGTGAATTATTAATAAAAACGGGTATACTGTATGTGTGTGTGTGTGTGTAACTATAATTACGGGCTACGGCACACCAAGGAAGACACCGGGACGACGACCCAGTGAACGCGATTTATAAGTATATATATATATTTATATATATACTTATACAGTTATACCTACGATTATTAAATATGTCTGTAATAATTTTTTCATTGGTTTGGAGGAACTCGATTACGACGTTGCGATCGATCACAAATTAATGCCCTGTCGTCATGTTTTGAACGCAGCCCTGTGTAAAAACTAAAAATAGAAGCAGACAAATAATAGCGAATAAATCATTCACGTGATTATTCAACTATTGATTGGTTGGGGGAGGGGGGAATGTAAGAAAATGTTTCCATGCACATGCTTTGCCCGACGCCCGTCACAAATTCATCAGTACTTTTTAATATTATAATCGGGAAAAACAATGCGAACATTATAATTTATAACTGTTGAAATTTTAATATTATTATTAAAATAATTGGTTGATAACTTTGGTTGACCTTCTGTTCTTAGAATGGTATTTCATCGTATACCCACCATGATTTATTATTGAATTCTAATTTAACCTATCCATTACAGTGACCCAATCTATAACGAATAAGGTACACTCGATACTTACCTACTCTTCAGCAGAAAGGTTACCTTTTGCCCTCTTTTTTAACTTGTAATATTTCATTAGCAATTAACAAACTTCTTACCATTTAACAATAAATAAAACATTAAGTTATAAATCACAATTTATCAGTTTCATTGTATATAGGTACTAAGAATATACTTAATTAGTAACTAATAAGTATAATAATTATGTATTGCTTAACCTCCCTATTCCCTAACGCCTGTATGGATGTATACAATTATAAACGACCTTAACGCTCGTTAAATACTTTACAATTTTGCATAAATGCTTGTTTAAAATATGTCATTTTATACCATTAATTTTCTTCAAAAGAGTAATGAAGACTGTTTAGTCCAACAATAATTGGCTTCAGAATTGTTTGATTAATTGCGTCTTCAAAAATACTAATTTAACTCAATGATATAGAATTAACAACAAGAAATCACTATTCAATGGATTAACATAATTGAAGTCAACCAGCTTAAAATAAAAAAAAATGTACAAATTACAACAGTATTTTAAAAATTGAATGACCTATTTATCACAAAATAAGTTGTTATATTGGAAGAAATATAATTTTCCAATTTTTGTTATTTTTTAATTCGTATTTTATAGAAGCTTCTTTTTTCCAAACAATTGAAATTTTAGAAAAAAAGAGGTTGGTAAATCGACACAGAACGGTCGTCAAATGGCATAAAAAATCAATGTATTTTGAAAAATATGATCCATGAGTATGATACTCGAGTATACAACAGCACCAAACTACCTACCTATACTTCAAATTCCAAAAATATGAAATGGAATAATTTAAAGGGAAACAATAAATGTAAGTAGGTAATAACTAATAAGTATGCTTAGTGAATGAGTATACCTGTACGATAGTGACGTGTCGAGATACAGGCGAGATTACAACTGCGTACGAAAAAGAGAGATAATCAGTTGACCGCATCGCAACGCACCATGGTCCTGATACCGTTCGTGGTTTTCCAGGGCCGTCCTTAGGATTTTCGAGGCCCAGGGCGAAACTCAATTTTTAAATCAATTTTACCACTTTTTTTAAACGTGAGGCCTCCAAATGTAAGCAAAACGTAGGAGGCCCTGGGCCCTGCTCGACCCCCCCCCAACTCCCAAGGACGGTCCTGTGGGGACCACATTTGCTACCAGTGGGGGGTGGCCGTCCAGGAGGCCGTACCCTGACACGTTATCAGTTTCCACATTTCCGACGATTCCGACGTCCGTGTTCCTGGCCATTATCTCTATCGTTTACCGGTCGGGCTCTGCTGCAGAAGTCTCCGAGGCCGTAACGAGTTGTCGTCTTGTACGCAGTCGTCATCATCGTGGCGTCTGCGTCTGGGTGCGGCCATTTACAGCAGGCCGCAGCATCGTATATATAAGTCCACTCCGTGTGCGGCCGAGAGCTCGTCTAGCCGTCAAATGGATTTCGTCGTTCCGTGAGGGTCGCGGATGACTGGAGAACGTATAGTATAAGTGTGATTTGGCACAGTAAAGTGCTGTTTTACGTACCACTCTCGACGTCACTGTTGTCTTGCCCCGCGGCTGTTCCTCGACTGAGGAGGAGGGGAAAGAGGTCTGCAGGTGTCATCCTCGACAGCAACAGACATCAGGCCTGTTTCACTCCTCTCCTGGACGGCTGGACCTATAGTAGGTTTTGGGTGTAGGTAGTAAGTACCTACCTCTTCATTGAGTAGGAGGTCACTGCAATGAATGTATAATTAAATTTAAATTCAATGAACATACATATCATTCCATACGGAAAACGATTCTGAACGGGGACGGTCTGTCAGTCTATTTATTGTATAAATATACCTAGCTATGATGGAAAAACTGTAGTAATTTTGTCCGTGTATTTATATTAAACTACCAAAAATAGATGACTTAATCATAGAAATTGAGAGAAATTCATTAAGTCATCACAATACAAAAAAGAAAAACGACATTTTACACAAAATAAATAAAGGCGGGTTTCCACTATACGTCTATACGCGAAAAATGTTCAGCTATGTCCAACAACAAGGTATCGTGGTTAATCGTGTGGTAACTGGAGCTTACCAACCAATCACAGCAAAGGATTTGTATGCACCGTACACATCGTATAGTGGAAACGAACCTAACCGAATCCGAACCGAATAACCGATACTGTGTTAATGGTACATCAAATTATAAGGTGTATTTATATAATATTATATTTCCAAGTAAATGTATTTATAAAGAATTATGTGTAGTTTATAAAGAGTTTTTAAACATAAAATTAATTTACCAACATGTTATCGACCACAGTTTTATAGTTATAATACTAGATTTAAAAAATATATAAATGCGATTGTACCTAGGTAAAAAACAATTTGGAAATAAAAGTTTCTTAAATCGCGCAATTTCGACAGCTGGAAATAAAATATATAAATCAGTTTATAATCCATTTTAAATTTTCTATAGTAAACAAGATTAGTTTATTTTAAACTTCTAGAATACAATGTTTGTTAAATTTTTCTTTTCACTTGTTCTTTATTGTTTTTGTTTTTAGTCTTTTTCTAAGTATGTATATAAGTATTTTAATATTTATACTTTATAGTAATTAATAATTATTAGTTTAACTATTTTAAGAACTCAACACTTTATCATCCCAAGCATTAGCTTAAAGAATGTGTGCAGACAATTTATGTAAGTAATGTAATAACGTAATGTGTATTAACCGTTAGTTTGCATAATATATTTATGAATTTATTTATAAATACAAAAATCTACTGTACAGCTAATTTTTTCATGATAATTTGGCTGATATATTTTACTATGCCTCAAAAGTATGAAATGGTTACTTAATTTTATTACATGGTTGTGATTTTTATAATATTATATGGTACACGTTAGGTGAAACCAGCACAGGCCGCAGGCACTGTCTACAATTTTTATACCACTAAACTCATAAACGTATTGTAAACAAACATTTCAAATGTAAATATGAAAGTTAAATTTTAAAACCTTATTAACTATTATCTGTAAATATTATATTTTATAAAACTCATATAACACTTTCTAAGCTAATGACCGTAATTGTAGTCCTTCATTTCTAATAAAAATAAAATAGTATATGGTGTTCTTTGGTAAAAGTTATTCATCTATAATTGATCTAATCGGAAAGACAAACACTTAGTTCAGAGATAATCGACTATCTAAAATACAGATGAATACATAAATAAATAAAAAGCATTAAACAATATTGCATATAAATCAATATTGTCAATATTTATGAAGGATAAATAGTTATTGATATGTATTCAATATATTGTCCATTTTTCATGATAAAGATGGAGTCATTTATCAGAAAATTTAAAATATACATTATCGAATACGAAACTAGACCAATCACTAAAAATAACAAACACAAAATAATATTAGGAAAATTTTGTTTTACTCAATAAATTACAAGTGACTTTTTTACAATATGAAATTTAAGGCTGTTGAATAAATTAACAAATAAATTATTATATATAAATCACATTAGGGACCTAGAAGTTACTGATACACGGTTGTAATTTGAATAGTTAGCATTAAAATTATATGAGTGCGGAACAGATAATTTTATAGAACAAAACATTACAGTTATGTTCCATCCAGCCTATAATAACAGGTAGAATAAATTAAACCAAGATATGACTATTTTAAATATTTTGATTCAATAAAAATGGCAAGATACTTTATGTTTTTTTAGGTTTTAAATTAAATAAATGTAAAATTAAAATTATTCCTCCAGACAAAATAAAAAACTTAAAAAATATTAGTTTCTTTTTTCAATATTTTAAGTATGTGTTTTTCGTTGTGAGCATATAAAGTTCAAAAGCTAGCACAGCCATAAACAATTAAAATAAAAAAGTAAATAGTATCTAGTCGTCCTCCTATTTCTATACACAATTAACAAAAAAGAAAAAAGAATTCAAAATAATGGTCTGCATAGAAAAAAAATACAGTTCATTATCTGCAACAATTAAGAAGATCCAAATTCGCCCATCCACTTTTCATATTTGGTCAAATCATCTGACGAAACACTTTTGTTGCACTTTGCTATTGCTTCATTAAAATCTTGGTAGGACACTGGCAAATCCACTTCTTCTTTGGCTAATTGCCGAATCTGATCAGGTTTTAATCCAGCAATCTTACGTCTCATTGACATCATAGAAGCGTCCCTAAGTATTATTAAAACACATTAGTGCATGATCTATCTCTCATTGTAAAATGTTCTAAATAAATAAGAAGTTAATTATGTACATTTAATTAGTACTGTAATTACCTGCAAACGTTTGTGATATCTGCCCCAGAGTAACCTTTAAGTTTGGTAGCTATCTCTGTTAAGTTTACATCAGGTTCTACTTTAACATCCCTAAGATTTATTCTCAGTAGCGCTTCTCGACCAGCACCTGTAAATAAATGTTTTCGTATTCATCAATAGTGTATTTAAAAAGGCCAATAAACATAATTGTTTACTGAAGATGGTAATAACATTATTTGGGAGAATTTATAGCTCTCTGCTGTATAGATAGACCATTAACTACATTTAAAACAACAACAGTGCTTGATAACAATCTTATGTTACTCAGCCACATACATATTATTAAAGTAATTATAAATATATTATATACTATCATGATACTTGTAATATGTATAATACAGTTGTAACAGGACAACTAATGAATATTAGTTAATAGTTAATACTGCAAGACAATAATTAAAATAATTGCCAAAAAAGGTTTTTTTAAATTTTATACAATTCATGACAAATTGGGTAATTTGTATTTAGCAGAAAAAATAATTCAAATATTCTGTCAAAAATTTTTTTATCTATCAGAGTAATTTTCAAATTTTTTTAATACCCAAGGTACCAACTAGATCCAATTTGCTACCAGAAACCAAGATCAGAGTTTAAAATTGATTATTTTTACTGATCCATAATGTGGTAACAGTTACAAAAATAAAAAAATCAATAAATTCATTGTTCCACTCAGAAGAACAATAGTTGTTGTACTCTGCTATTATTTTTCTTAAAATATTTAAAATCATAATACATTTTATTTTTAATTAATAGTTTGGGACTTTTGTTTTATTTTTTTCTATTATAATAATTTGCATTTAGAAATTTTAATTGAATACCTATGCTATAATACTTACTGTTGGGTAGAGGAATATATATACGTTTCTCCAGTCTACGCCTAAGTGCCTCATCTATATCCCAAGGGAAATTGGTAGCTGCCAGTACCATCACAATACGGCTAGCCCCTGATTCTTCTTCTGTACTTGTATCACTTAAGCCATCCATTTGGACTAAGAGTTCAGATTTCACTCTTCTGGATGCCTCATGTTCAGACTCTGAGCCTCTCCGCGAACAAAGAGAATCTATTTCATCAATGAATATCGTTGATGGAGCATGAAACCTTGCCTAAGAAAATAATATACACATATATACTATTGAGATATTAAAAAATACTGAACAAATTAAATAATTGGAACATAATATGGTGTATCCATAACTCAAGGTAACGCACAATTTATTGGATGTCACATTTAGCTGAACAAGGCAAATATTTAACCCATGGCAATTTGTATTGATTTGTGTTAGGTATTTATTTTATATTTTTATACTATCATAAATATCACAACTTAGAGTGACTTACTACATAATTTATTTTGTTTTTAAATTTAGTCGTAAGAAGCATAAAAAACAGAATATTTAAATTGTCTAATATATCATATGTCATTAACCATGACATTGAAAAGTTTTAGCTGGTTAACAATGTACAAAATTAATTAAAACTATACTATTTATGGTTATGTTATTTTAAGCTTAGGAACAAATTATAATATATATTCACATATAGCATTAAATTGTTCATACAATAATAGTATGTTAAGGATAATTAAAATTATTATTTATAGTGTGTACAATACAACGAGTTAAGGAATTCTACAAAATAAATCATGAATCATTGATTTTAAAATTTTGTATTAAACTGAAGAATAGTGATAACTGATAATCAATAATCATAATTAAAAGGATTTCAGCATAATATTTCTTGACCCTATCTATTATACACCAATTTTAGAGAAAATTCTCTAAAGATTATTTTAAAATAATTTTTGTTGATAAAATTCTAAATTTTATTTATATTTATCTATATTTATAAATTGGTCATTTAATGCTCTTTGATTGTGGTACACTTAATATAAAACTTACCATTTCAAATAGGAGCCTGACAAGTTTCTCAGATTCACCTCTATACTTAGAAGTTAGTGTTGATGAGGATACATTAAAGAAAGTAGTTCTGCACTCGGTTGCCACAGCTTTTGCAAGCATTGTTTTCCCCGTTCCGGGAGGGCCAACCATTAAGACTCCTTTCCAAGGCCGCCGAATTCCCTTTAAAAAAATATTTTCATACATTCCCATACATTTAAACTTTCAAACAATTTTATTTAACGTTAAAAAGTAAAAACTTTAATATACCTTAAAAAAATCTGGCATCCACATAGGAAGTACTACTGCTTCTTCTAAGAGACGTTTAGCTTCATCTAATTCAGCTATGTCAGTCCATCTTATATTAGGGTTTTTCTGTACAATATCTCTTTCTATAAAATAAAATCATTAATTAATATAAATAATAATTAGGTAAGCATATTATGTTAATCATTACCTAGCATATCGACAAGGTCTTGATCATAAGAAGAACAATCAAACCGTTTTTCATCTGGTTTCAAAACTTCTTTTTCATCCTTATCTTTTTCACTTTTATCACTCTAATAGAATAAACATAGAATTATTAAAACAATTTAAAATCAAAACATTTTTATTTACCGTTCCGTTTGTATTATGACCATTAGTATCTTTTTTCGGACCTTTTTTGACATCATCATTTTTTTTTGCTATCTGAGATCTAGTGGCACTGTTACGGGTATTGTTTGGTCCAATTTTTTGATTTCTATTGGCCACTCGTGATGTTTCATTACGTCGAGATGTTTTTTGTGGCCTAACTTGTGGCCCGGGTCTATGTTCAACGGGTGAAGGAGGTGGCCACACATCAGGGTCATTATTATTTGCTGGGGGCCATTCTAGGGAGCCACTGCCATTAACCTGTTGACGGGTTGTACCAAACCATGACAATCCATCAACGGGTGATATATCTTCATTTCTCTCACTTCTATTATTTCTATTCACTAGTAAAGAAAAAATTACAAAATTATTTAGATTGATTTTAATTTAAAAATGTATTTTTTTTTTAAAATTTTAATTGCAATACAGTTGAAACTTCATCTTCAATTACAAACAATACATCTATTTTTAAAATTTAATAGAAAAAATTATAAATCTATAATATCAAAACATTATTGAGCGTATTATAAGCTACATGTCTTATGTAATTCTGTGCATAATAAATAATACACATCAAAATATCTTGTGTGACAGTATAAAAATTCAATGGGTAATCCATTTTAGTGAAAACATATACACGCTTTAAGGTCCTCGCACACTGCAGCGGGGAATTAAATTCTATTGTCTTGGCTTTCTTGTGTTCTGCAGTAATTAACCGCCACCGTTGCAGTGTGTGGGGACCTTTAAACTGTACCATTGCCAATTTATTGCATTACAAAAACAATTCTAGTATACTCACATGCTGGAGTAGATGCACTCAGTGGCCTCTCATTCCTTTCGTAGTCGTTGCTTCGTAACTGTTTTAATTTATTTAAGGTGTTTGAATACAATTTTAATTGTTCACATTCATCATTAATCTGACGTTGAATCTGGTGACAGCAAGGGAAATATAAACAAAATAACAAACGATAATATAAAATGCTGAAACAGATATAACTTACACTTCGCCAGGTTTCTCGACGTGTTTGAATATCAACAGTAGACAAGAATCGTCCCAATTGTAACTTGGCTCCTTCATAATACACTAATGACGAATCGTAATTTCCGGTTAAAGCCATCTCACGAGCCATGTTAATACTTTCACGTATTTCATCAATCGATACTGCCATAACGGTCATCACAGCTATAAGCAATCAAGCCAAATTGTTAAAATCAAAAAAAAAAGTACAACATTAACGTTTGAGTGTGGAAATATTATAATAATTTAGGTACCTACCTTTAATGGTATGAATTTGAGCTAGGGAATAAATTGCGACTAGGACAATATATGATTGTATAATGCATTTCAACGGCACCCATTATTACAAAATCGGAGCCTCGAGTAGAACAGTAACATAATATTTCTGAAAAATAAAATTTAAAAACACAAATCAAAAAAAAAAATATTAAAACGAAAATATTGTTTATATTTTATTGTTTTTTTTTTTTAACGAATTTACCATTAAATCGTATAGGCCGATAGGTCTCGACGAATAATTGTGAGCATAATCACTAAAAATAATAACAATAATCCTATAATATTTACAACGTAACCGACAGAATCAAACAACAATCGAAAACCACTGTGACTGTTTATTGTTTAATGATTTAAACGATTTGTGACAATTTTGTTTTAATTTTTAGAAGGAAAAACATTATCAAATTATGTTATTTTGAGGTACACTCTCTTGTTTAGAACTCAATGACGTTATAAATTGTTATCTTATCAGCAATACATCTCATGCTTAATACATCCTTGCATGGAGCGAAAAAGGCGGGGAAAATAAATAATTCAAATATGGTTACGGTTTATCCCAGAATGACTGAATAAAGCCACTATTACTACCATTTTCAAACGAGGCATTAAAATGTAAAATATTTATTATATGGATGAACTCGATAATAAGCATTTTATGTACAAACTTAGTATTTTTGATCCAAAGTCAGAAGGTAAAATATATGTTTGTTGAAACAAACTAATAAATCTATAATATAGCTCTACGAACACTTTATATATTAATAAGCTGGGTTTAAAATGAATGAGGGTGGGGTATTCAAAAGATAAGTTGTTCGTTAGTTAATTTAAAAAAAAATGTTAGTACAATATAATATGTTTACAGTTTATCACATTTTAAAGTTATACGATCATTTAATTTATATTTATATACTATGCCATGTTTTGTGTCAATATTCATCCTAATCATTTTAATCAGGTAGACCAGTGATTCCCAACCTTTTATGATCGTGACCCTAACATTTGTTAAATTCAACTTTTTGTGACCTTTAAAAAATCATATTAGCTAGGTTAGTAATTGCAAAAATAATTCTCATTTACACTAAATCATACAAAAAATAACAAAAATAAAAATAGAAATTACACATACGAGTACTGAGTACACCAATTATTTATAATATACTATATACGATAACAATTTTCTTCCTCCGTCTTTTTTGTTGTTAATTTTTTTGAAAAGATTTGTTCTTTTAATTTACATATACAATCATACTAAACTAATATGTGAATTTTAACGAATTTTAACGAAATTCGGAAACCTCCGAGGTAGACAATCAAGACACCTGCCTGTCTCCATCTTTACGATTTAATTTTTCCAACCGTTATAAAATTCTAAACATTACAATATGTCAATATATATAGGTATTAGGTAATATACCTTGTATTATCTACCTATATTGCACATATTATTACATACCTAAGTATATTATGTAGATTTTATACAATACATCATACAAATTAATTAATTACTGTAATCCTGCAATTTTCTACTAACATCTAGCACTTTACCACCCAATATATACGCACATTGTTATTGTTGCAGATAATACATTTGAGTCATAATGTTATAATGTAAATTATGAGCATCAGTATATATATAAGGGTATAATACTATCATCAAAGGCCAAAGCGTATGTAATATGTATTTTAAATACGGTCAGTTCACATATATTATGATACATAGTTAGATACATGTACCTACTGCAGTACTTCGTCATTATATTATGTACATTGTACATACATTGTTTATACATTTACCATATATAGCGCGTATTGTGTCTGTTCTTGACACATTTATCCTCCACCGCTTAGACTTTACTATTGTGTATATACGTATAATAGTGTAATGGTGAGCGAAGAAAACATCAACGCGCAATAATATTATACCATACAGTGAAATATAGTTTAGCGCACGAGAATCAAAGCAAAAACAGAAGGCCGTCGTATGGTCAGAGCATATTATAATAGTGTGATGAATGAACACGAGACACAAATACAAACAATACGCGAATATCTGTTAGTAAGTGTTACAAATTACAATAAACATAATATTATTGTGTATTGTGTATGTGTACTTGTGTGACACAGATGTTAGACGGCCGAAGCAGACCGTGTTATTATTTATTAAGAGTCTATATAGGCTGTGATTGAATATGCACTATAAAATTCATTGCAAATCACAAATAGCTTAAAATTCACTTTGAATATTCCGATAAATGCACTAAAATAAGAATTAAAATGGTTTAATCAAAATATTGAAAACCCATTTCTTCCTTGTTTAAAAGAAAAGTCCATATTTTTATAGACAATATTATATTATAATCAATTCAGTTGCATATTTTCATTAAATTTCCAAAAAAAAAATAAATATTTAATTCATTTGTGAAGGTATTTCAACAAAATTAAAACTCTCATTATTTTACATTTAAGTTGTAAAAAAGAGGGTAAGTGGATGTCGGTCTGCTGTACAGTAGGTTACAAGTAGCTCATTGTTTAATGGATTGTATTAAACTTGAATTCAATGATATAATATCATTGTATAAGAAAAACGATTCTGAGCGAAGACTGCTTGTCAGTCTGGATATTTTATATTGTTATTATTTATTATATTATGTAAGTTGAATTAATATTATAATATTATTATTTTTTATTCATTTCTATGGTGATAACTGATAAACAAAGCGGTATAAATTAAATTCCCATTTTTAGGTGTTTTCCGTAATTTTTCGGTGGGTTTTCCAGTGGCATTATATAACTATTGAGAAAATTGAAAAATGATCTCTCTAAAGTCTAAAGTACCATCTTGATCCAATTTGCTAAAAGATAAGGTACTATATGTTGAAATCTAAGCACTCCTCCTGGTAGAAATTTTGTATACAGGATATAAAAAAAAAAAAATAAATAAACACCATTGCAAAACCAATAGCTTCCTCGCTCATCTCAGAATCTAAAAACACTGAAAAAACCAAAAAAATTCAAAAACTTCGAAATTTGAAAAAAAAATATTCAAACTTGAGTTCATTGTTACATCATTCAAACTTTGTGATAAAATAGGTTTATCTTGTTACTAAAATAATAAAAATTAATTTTGCTACCAATTTACAGCCATGTTTATAACGTAGGTACCTACATATGTTATGTCGCCCTATTTACATAATATATATAAAAAGAAAATCAATATGTTAATTGTTAAGTGAAGTGACCAAAATTGAACTAAAACGTCTAAATGGTAATTGGTAAGAAAAAATTATTTACCTACTTGCAATTATAACAGTACAATAATACTGACCTTGGAAATTAATAAAAATTAAAAATTAAAATTAAGTTGTAGACACCTACACAGGTAGCTATTTATTATAATATAATGATTACAATTTAAGAATATATTAACACTATAGGTACCTATTATGCAGTGTTAATTTCCATATGGTAATCCACCCAAAATATTTTATTAATTGTAACACGCAAATATCTATAAATATAAATTATACGTTATGTTTAAGTATGACTTTATCATATATCAAATGTATATATGTATAATGTATATGTCTTAGTATATGTATTATGTGGGTAAAAGTATTATGACTTTTGAGCGGGTAAAGTATTGACGTAAAACCGTATAGCATATAAAAGTTTATTATTTAGTTTATCAAATATTATACATGGGTAAACCTATCTATATGCGTCTAAGCACAAACGTGGCTATAATATATTATATACTATATCCATCTATAATAGTTATCGATTACTGCCGAAGAAAGTTTTTTTTTAAACCGAGTTAAAATAATATATTACGTGAACTTTTGTAAAATATTTTACGATACTCTGTAGTATGATCCACATATCTTGTCATCGTTTAAATTGAAAAACGAAATATGTTATATTGAATAAGGATATTGAATTTAATCATTGTATATAATATAACATAATTGTCATAATAGTATAATACATTAATTATCCAAAGGAATTTTGTTGATGTTACAATCATAATTTAATGATTTATTGATTTGAATACCTATAACATGTACAATGTGAAAAATGTAATGCCTAGGATAAAAACGACACTCCCAGATGTATATAGGTCAACGTTCTGTGAGGAATATTTTAATACGAACCAAAATATTATATAGTATATATTTTATTATATTATTATACAACCAAAATTGTACGTTGACATTTTTTAAACTTTATTGTCTTTCCTATTTTAAAATATTTAAAACTAAAATGAACAACTTGACAATCCTTGCAAGTATATAATATAATATTATATTATACATTTATACTAGCATTGTTAAAGAAACCTAGTTTAACCGTAAATATTGAAGGGATCTTTTATAGTTTTATGTCCTAGCGACCTTTAGATTGGCTTGCATTGTTCGTTGTTACGCACAGAATGATATTTTTACAAGTGTACACTAAAATGCTTTAAAGTTTATGCAACGTTAAATATCAAACTTTATAGATATAACATATATATATATATATTATAATCATGTATTTAAATTTGAATATTCTAAATAAATAATAAATTGAGTAACAATATGTAAATACTATATTGTACCTATACATTTGAAACGTATTAGTTATTGGATTTTAATGATATAGATTATAGAGTGTAGACTGTAGACGTATAAATTTCGTTTTTTTATCTTAAATACTCACAGGTATCACACGAAAGTCGATATCTGCGCAAAAAAGAGCCCGAGACAACATTCCTGTATTGTTTTCGTATTTTTCACTCGAAAAACTTCGCGCCATAAACAAACTGGTTCAGACCGATCTTGTATAGACGAACGCGACTTTCTATATTCTTCAACACAATGAAATGGAAACAACTAATAATAA